AGGAATCACTGCATTGCACGTTTCTCCCTTCATCTGCTCCCCCCCCCCTTCATCTTCCCCTTCTCTCTCTCCACACACAAACAGTCTCGACCTGCCGATCAGATTTGCGAAAATGGAATTTCCTGGGATAAGAATCTCGGTAGGAGTCGAGGGGCTGAGAGACTGGCTCGCCAGCTCCGGCGGGAGGAAGGGAGCTCTTTTACAGAATAAAAAACCTCCGGGGGGAAATCGCCAGAAAAGATCTGCGGGAAAAAAGGCAGCGAGAGACAGAACGACAGGGACCTGGGGAGATGGCTAAAGCGGATGGCACAGCACGCTTGACCCTGAACTTGGCGCGCGTGTCGGGCCAGGATGTGTGAAGATCTTTTGAGTCGACTAAAATAGCTGAAGACTGCTCCCCGGCCGGGGCTATCGCGCTGCGATTTCCTGCTAAACTGCGAAAGCGTTCGGTGGTTCTTTTCTTTGGGTTTAATCGCCAGACAATATTCCTTGACAATTGGAAATCGTATCTGTAAAGCTACACTTTGATTCTAATGTTTACTATTTTTTTTTTTACATGTATAACTTGAAATTTAGATTTAGATACCCCATGTGTAAAAAAAAAAAGATTTTTTTTTTCTCCTAACGTATGTTCACTTTCTATGTTTTGTTTTAACGAAACAAATACTTTATGACGATTTTGGTAAACAATAGGCCTAATTCAAATTGCGTTATGAAATTTTCAATAACTAAACGAGGGTGGAATTTGTTCAGTTCAATGTCTTATTTAAACGCGGTTAACTTATATATATATTGCTGAGAAAATAGCCATCGAATAAACAAATTATTGTTTTTCGAGGTAAAATTTGAAAATAGCACGAGAAATAATTCCTTGGCCACTTTCTGCTCCTTTCCCTCTTCCTTCCTGTCCTGTTTTATTGTAATTAATTGATTTCTTTCCTTGTAATGTATGAATATAAGAAAGTATATATGTACATTTGTATATTCATACGAATGTGAATATTTTGCTGTTAATTTAATTTTTTTCAATTTCATTAGTATACATGTATTACCGTAATTTTCGGAATATAAGCCGCGGCTTATACGTTGATTTTGCCCATGAAAATGTTTACTGCGGCTTATACACAGGGCGGCTTATACGCCGAGCCTTGAAGAATGAAAATGACATTTACATGTGTATTTAATGTTCTGGTATAAGAAGAGATGTGTTGCTGAAATAATTATCAAAATTACGGTAACCTGATATAATTCAGTCTAGAGTATGTATTTAATAATTTATTAGCTTAATTTGTAATTACGGGTTCCAGGTCTTGTACAAGCATATGCTTTTTTACCTGGATCCCTCGTATTATTTTTTGTCATTCTTTATATAGATGCTTGTTAATTATGGTTTTGTTAACAGAAGTTAACAATTCTACATTTAGGGTCTGATACCTGTTTGTTGGCTGCAGAGAAACAGATAACTCAGACTATTTCCATGATAATATACAATTTGTTGAAGAAATGTTATTCAAACAAGAAATCATCTTAATTTAAATTATTTTTCATTTTCGATGCACATTGGAAGTTGCTTGACTTGATGTTTCCGTATATTCGTTTTATTTTTCAAAACAGATTAGTTTATGGTGCCACTCGGTGGAATAAAATATGAATTCGTTTGGTGTTGAGCGACAGTAGAGTCAGGTTTGTGGATCAACTGAAATGACTAGGCAGGTGTTTGTGGACAATCGGCAACAGTTTTGTCAACAACTGTCATTTAGGAGTTTTATCTAAAGTCGCATGAATGTACATGCTTCCCAAGTACAACAATAGTCGGTTTTGCTATAGTTGAAGTAAAACAATGCGAAATTGTGATTCTTAAAATTCGGCTTTCAGCCTTGACAAATTTGTATGACACTCTGCAGGGAAACACATAAAACTCTTTCCCTCGCGATAGCACAAAGAAACCCACCGCTATATAGTTAATTTTTCATTATCTAAACAATGGCATCTTGCCAATTATCGGGAAGGAACAAGGAAGACAAGAAAAAGCAAAGCCCGGGGACCAATCCGCGTCCTTCAGGCGACTGTCAGCCAGATGGCACGCGCTACGCGCTACGCGCTCATTCTCGATGTCTTATAGGCTGTCTCTCAGCGACGCCATGCATCTTTCATGAGTTTAGTCCTCGGGAAGGAAACAAGCGTCTGCTCCGGCATGCAACTGAAGGATTTAGACACACTTTGAATAAATTAAGACCGTGTCTGTGGAGGAGCGGCGGTAAGACGGAACTCTGTCTTGAAATTTCAAATCACACTCGGGCCTAAGATTTTTGTCGTCATTTAGTTTTTCAATTAATAAATAAGAATCGTTCTGAATAAAAAAGGAGGACGTTCAAAGCAATTGCTATTTTAATATTTACTTACTTGAAAATACCTGCGTATTAAAATGTGTACAATTCTTGGTGGTTGTATTTTTTTCCACCGTTAGGTGTCTCGCTCACAATCATCAATTGAATCGATTCGGGGTTCTGAAAATATTATCCTAAACTATCCATAAACATGCTCTTATAAAAATTATTGAAAATTGGCAATATTGGCAATTCTAAAACGTAATGACAGTCGGTGAGAAACCAATTTATAATTGACAGAACATGTTTTTTTTGCGAGCACTGAAATTATTTGTGCCTAATAGATAGAATTCTTTTGCTGATCCGGTTTCTTTGCGCCTTTGGAATTATAAGCTATTTTCTTGTTTGTTTTGTGTTGATTCGTATTGAGTTTGTGCCCCACTTGTATGTCTGGGTGATTGGCCATTAAAGAGAGAGTGCGCCCTCATTAGTTTCATAAAGAATCGTCCACATTGAGGGCGCATCGCGCGGTGGACTGTATTAGAGGCGCGATTAAAATCATGACCAAAAAGATAGTCGAGTGTGAAACTTTTTGTCTGCGCCCAAAACGAACCATATTTCCCCCCTCCAATCCCTTTCGTCGATCACGACAGCCATTAAGACCGGTAGTGTGATTGAGAAATTGGCCACTTCAATAGGGTTCGGGGACTTGCCGAGAAAAAAAAAGGAGTTGGAGAAAAATCGAGAGAAAAAAAGGGGAAAGAAAATAGAGATGAGAGCAGTGGAGGGAAAGTAATTTGCACTTCGCTGGCGCGCAGTGGATGGTAATAATAAATGCTGTTGTGGTACGGTCAGCGGATGGAAGGGAGCGGGCGCTGACAAAGAAAGAGAGCGGTGAAATGGCGCTCGGGCCCGGCGTAGGCTGCTCAGTGAAGGGGGGGGGGGGGTGTCTGGGAGAATGAGATGAACCTGCAGGTTGAAGGTGGCTGGGAGAAATGAGCACTTAGTGAGATTGTCAACTATTAGGGCTTAGGGAGGTGGGAAAAGCGCAGGAGGGAAGTGATGAGATGAGGTCTGAATTTACAAAAAAAACTATGATTCACCATTGTATTTGCTTACTTGGGTAAAACAATGACGAAACTATAGAGAAAAGGTGTCTGTTATTCAACAGAACACTGGCTGTTTCGGCTACAGAAAAACGTGTACAAATGCTATGGACAAGAGTCTGAAAAAGAAAAACAAACGAAAAGAAAAAAAAAGACAATACGAAATCTGAACGAAAACAAAGGCTCGTTCGGCAAATTGCCGAAACTGCCAAAAATAGTGAAGGGAAAAACGGTATATGTTTTGAATTTTAATTTTGTCCAGAGTTCATTCAGGTGTTTTCTTTAATTCGAGTACTGGTGTCACGTCTCCTGTTATGTCAGCTGTTGCGATGATATTAACGTGTCTAAATCGGTTTTTTTTCTGTTTGTTTAAATGTTTGTTTGTTTTGTTCTGCTTTTTCTGTTTTATGTTAAAAAAATGTTATGGTCGTTGTACTATTTCTCGGATTTAGGGTTTTATTTTCCGTCAGCTGTTAAGCATGTAGCATTTGTCATTAACACGATGAAAACGCAATGGAGTTGTCCTAACACATTTTAGGTAATTTAGCTTCTTAATCAAGGTATTATATTCGGCTCCTGGTGCCGGCTGAAAATTATCTTGTTAAAAACAAACACTTCTAGAAAAAAAAATCCACAAACCCTCAAAATCAACAGGGTAACGCCAGAAAAAAAATGGCGCGCACGCGATCATTTCGCAATTTGCCACGCCAGATTAAACAAGCGCGCGCGGGCAGCATTCCGCGGAATTTTCCCCCTTCCTGTTTTTTTCTCTTTTAATTTGAAGTGTTGGGGAAAAAAGAACAATGTTATTACCGAGGAAAATGAAGTCTTGAACCTACGAGGACGGGAGTCGCAAGGGAATTGGTTCCCGGGCTGATTGGCTGCTTGGCACGGTGCATTTTGATTGATGCAAGGGGAGTGTTTTTATTTTTGTTTCGCGTCACAGTAATGAAATGGCGAACTTTTAAAGTCCTCCATATGGGAGCTAGTACTTTCTACGTGCGCTTTTCAGTTTTCGTCATGCCCATTTGGCGTGTGGTCGTTGGTGTTTATTCCGCAACATTGGGTTGGGAATGGATGATCACTTGCAAAGACAATGACGACAATTGATTAGACAAGTTGAGAGACAAACATTGAGGAAAATAATATGAAAGCCAGATGATGGGGAACTTGCAAAGAAGCAGTTTACGCTGTAAACGTTCAAACATTTATTCTTAAAATCAATCATTTATTGTGGGCGAGTGTGGACTAGTGGTCAGGGTTCGTGACTCATGATCAGAGGGTCAGGGGTTTGAATCCAGCTGCTGGTGACATGTTGTGTCCATGGGCAAGTCACTTCACCCCCACTTGCCTCTCTCCACCCAGGAGTATAAATGGGTACCAGCATTATCTGGGAGTAACCTGCGATGGACTATCATACCATCCAGGGGAATATCAATATTCTCAGTCGTTTCATGCCAAGGAAACTGGAGATAAACGCCGGCCTGATGGGCCATATTGGCAGACTTGACTTAACTTATTAAGCCACATCACGTGGTTTTGATATCCCATAATAATGTCCACCAACCTTCTTTCTTGCAGCTGCTTTCAACTTCGTGCACGTGGTTCATGGGCTGCATGTGCTGTCCCGGCATGCCCGCGTTGGGCGAGTACCACGTGCCCGGCCGCGGCCATTGGCCGTTGAGCATGCGCAGTTTGTCAAACATGGCGTCGTGGCCCATGTTCTTCTCGGCAGCCAGGCTGCGTAGCACTCTGTTGATGGAGGAAACCTAAAACAACATTGAGGGAGAAAAAGAGGCATTTTATTTAGGAGAACGAAGGAGAATTAACGATAGTTGGATAGAGTAAATGGTTATACCGATTATCATGAACCTCGATTGGAAACTACGCATGCTCAGTAACTAGGTGATTACTCGCATATTTTGACTGGTACTCACTTCATCTTTTCCAGATGTGAACATTGCCCTATTGCGTGGCTCTCCTTACCGTAAGCGAAAACTCGCTGCTTACTATAGCAGAACATTTGATGCTTACGGTAAGCGAGTTTCACGGGTTAGCGAGGAATGTTGGCTTCTGCACATGCGTGCATCCCGGTAACTGGATTTTGTGCTTACAGGGTTAGCCCAGAATTTTTCTGCTAGCGCGATTTAGCACAAGATGGTGATCGTAAGCACGACATTCTGTGGTTAGCACAACCATGAAAGGTTGTGACGGCAACACCTTTATGTTATTGTGTGGGAAAACGTGGGGAATTCACATCAGTTGAAGATGAGTTGCTACATAGATTTCCCGCCAAAATATCGCTTGGTTTCAAGCGAGAGAGCTCGTTTTCTTGGCCATCTGCTGCAACCATGCAGCAAACGCATGCGGATTCTAATGCAAGCGGGAGTGGAAAAAAAACATTTTGTTAGAACGAAAATGATACCAAGAACTCCCGATTCGGTCCAGTAGTTTTGATTCCAGCGCCATTTTTGTGAACCAACGTCAGGGCTTAAGATAATCCTTTTGTTCAGTGTGCGACAATCCTAATTAGAGCCCCTGACTTTGGTTGACAAAAATGGCGCTGGAATCAAAACTACTGGAACGAATCGGGAGTTCTTGGTATCATTTTCCTTCCAAAAAATTCCTATCATTATCAATATAGTGTAGGTCTCTGAATAGTGGAAGTACGAGGTTGCGGGTTTTTTTTAACACCCTGTGTTGAGCTCATTCCCAGAGCCCAACTTTGACGCAATGATCGTCACACGCCACCTCGTTCCCACATTTTTGGGGTTTATATCACATGTACTTGAGATTCGGCCACGTATCAATAGTCACGGTGATTCTATGGTGTTAAGCAGGATGGTGCAATACATGATGTTTTCCTGTTTTTCATCTCTGATTCCCACCCGGTCACCAGAGGGCACTGCGTTATCGGTTACTCCAATCAGCTTCGTAGTTTCACCGAATTATTTTACTTTCCCCCATCCTTTCAACCTATACTCATCCTTGTACATGCCAAGTTTCACAAGTCGTGAGGACTTGTATACCTTTTATCATGCTGCCGCCATTTCAGTAATGCTCTCTGTATCCAATAATAGTACTGAAATAGTACTGGAAGTGTTCAATAACTGGTAACTCGGTAACTTTTGTGCAAACAGGAACCAGACTATTTTTTTCCTTCCAGCCTCGCTTTGGTTACGTTGATTTGAATGGGAAAACAACAAGATGGCCGCAGCATGATAATGGTCTATACCAACGGCACTTTAAAGGAAGACTCTAAAGTTAACCTCTAACAATAACGATCAAAATCTACTCATTTCCTGGAGATCGTAAAAAAGAAAATGGCGGAGTAATGATAGCGATGATAATAGCCCTTTCTCGCCTCCAGGGGGCGCGATACCGACTCATCTTCACCGAGATAAAAAATATAAAAGTTGTTGCTGGCAGAGGCAGGAATGGCTTGAGGGCTGTCTTTTTTATCGCGGCCTTTGAGACAAAGAAAGCTGAAAATTATTTCCACCCACAAAGAGATCTCGCCGCCCTTTCCAGTGGCAACGACAAGGAATATCAAAAAAAGAAAAGAACAAGGCTCGAGTGTTGCCCGGAGACGTGCGGTTAATTGCTGGGAGTGTTCGGTAACTGATCATTATCTCATTTGACCCAGAGACACGAAGATGTGCCACCAACAGGTCCCTCTTCTGTTCATCTGTTGTTGTTTTTTCCCTCTCTTCTTTTTCCTCTCCTCCGGTTTGTCCTCGCGGCGTGAGGACCATTGTTTTGATATCAAACGAGGATGGATCTGAAGCGAGCGCTTCGACCGTTCATTAGCGGGGTATCAAATCCACTTTTGCCCCCGAAGGTTTCAGCGCGCGGGCGCGCACGCTCGTGTGTTTTCCACCGCCGGCTGTTTTTAGGTCCGGGATCGGGTATTTGGATTTCCACCGCGCCGCGCTACCGTGGCGTAATTAAAGCATGTTGATTCACAAACATGCACAATTTGTGTATAAACAAAAGGGCCGTTTGAAACTAGAAGTGTAGCATCGAATAGTATAGGACACAAGCCGACAGTTCATTCGGGTCTTTGTTTTAATAGACTGCTTAAATTACATGACATTTTCCGCTCTCTGGTCGTGAAATAATTCTGCTGCGGTTTACATTTCTAGGAAAGGAAAGCGCGGCAGCAGGTTATTCTTAGAACGACGATATTTTGTGAAATGAATTTCTTCATCAATTGATTGGGTTTTTTTTTTATTATCTAGATCCATGAATTAAGAAAGTCGTGTCCTAAGAACTATCATACATAATTTAATACCGACCATTTTCAAGAATGTTCAGCGCACAATATCAAATTATAGGAAATGACTCATTTTCCGGGAAAAAAAAGTGCGATTTTATTTCTAATACAAGATTTGGGTATCGTTTTTTGTTTATTTGAAAGGATTTTGTACATTTGCCGATAAAACTTATACCCATGGAGCCAGGCACAAAGAAAAGGTGTAAATAGCATCGAAGTCATGATCATTATGGCAACGTGGACACGTGTACCTGATAAATTATTATATTATTTATCTATTTTTTCAGTGCGGTTGTGTAAAAATAGCCAAAATATTTTTCGATATCTAGAAAAGGGATTTCTAAAAATGTGGTGAGAACTATTAAGGCTACCTTTAAGGCAGGGGAATGATTGTTATAATGGTTTTTTTTTTCAATGATGACTCAGTAGGCGTATTGTATTATTTCTTTTTCACGCGGCTCATTTGCATAATGCTCATTATTTATTATGCAAACATTACGTCATTAACAGCTAGATTTCCATATGGACAAGCAATCGGGCCCGAAGCGGGGAGAACAAACGAACGGTGGACAGATGGAAAACAGCAGGGGATTCTACAAAAAAAAGGAAAACTGATGAAAATAACACAAATTGAAAAGAGGGGGGGAAATATCGACACCGAAAAAAAAGAAAGAAAATATCAATATTCGAGGAAAAAAGTACAGCGAACACACGGCGTGGGACTTGGGAGGGAAAGAATATGCCCGAAGAACCCCCCGCTGCGACGGGCGAATCGAGCGAGGACGGAAGGCCAAGGTTAGCGGGGCCAACGCGCCGCGAGACGGTATTGTCCAAAGCAGATATCCGCTGGGGGAAGAAGAAAAAAAAACTCGCTTTGCGGAACTCACAATGCCGCGCGGAAACGGCCAATGGGGATAAACGTGGCAGGTTGGAAAACCACTGTGCTTCGGGACAGAGACTGAAAATCCTGGCAGAAGTGGTTATGAAAATCATGATATACCTGTTGAAGATAACGTAAACCTTACTTGAGTAGCAAAGCCCGAGCAAATGGTCGTTACCAACGATTTTGTGACAATTTTGAACAAAGATTATTGTACCACAACAAGTGCAAGTGCACAATAAGCTCTGGTCGTGTTGCAAGAAGTCTTGCATGAAAGTCTTGCAAGAAATCGATCAAAATGATCCCTGCCAGAGCTTAAAAATGCGACGCCGAAAAATGCGGCGTAGATGGCACATCTGGAGCACCATACTTTTGGTAAATTTTCGGGGACAGGCAGACAGACAGACAGACAGACCACCAAGTGACATGTACAAGCTCCTGCTAGAGCTTAATAACGGCGAGGTCCAGTTGAATTTTCCCGATTTTTGGGTGGCCGCTTCATTTTCAGCAGTCGTCTCACTGTTCACGTATCCCAGAACATTTTACTTGTTACTCTGACGTCAAAGCTAAATACTCGGAACAAACTACAGCATAGCTCAAAATAACTCAATGGGCCCAAAGCACGGTGGGATTTAAGACTCCCCCGGCCCTGCACTGTAAGCCAGAGGAAATTAAACCGTGCAATATGGTTTGCGGGAGAAAGCTCCGTGGAAAATCAATATCATTATTCCGCCGGTCAGACGGATATAACAATGGTTGAATCAACAATGGCTATGATTAATACACGACGAAAAGCATAATTGGGAAAGAGGTTATCATTATTATTATTACGAACAAAAAAGGTTGGGATACGCTTCTATCTAATTCAAAGAACAGTTGAAATTGGTATAATTTGATACATGTTGACTGTAAGTATTTCAAAATCCACAGTTTTTCTGTTCTTCAAACAAATCCTGTCCTCTGTGATATAATTTAAGGTGGTTTCGACTCATATTACAAGCAGATCGCTTATCCATAGCAAAAGTATCGATTGATGAGCTGGAGCGGCTAGACAATACACTAATTGTGAGTTTAACCTCGACGTTTACAGAGCTGCCATGCCCCCGTGTAAAATTGCGCTGATCGCCCGCCAGCGGGACGAGAGGAAACACGCTGGACCGTGTTTTCGGTTAGTTTCACCGGGCGCGTGAGCTCGTGAAATGCGATGGATTTTTGTGTGTGTGTTGTATTGTATGTGCGCTTCCCTCGCGAGCGAGACGTCGCTATTAGAACGGGGATGTAGCGGGCAAGGCCGGGCAACGAAGGTCGGTTGTATACGGGGACTCGACGGCCGCACGGACCGCTGGATATTCGCTATTCGCTCGGTGCAACGAAACAGAAAAAGCTAACAGTTTGATGGACTTAAGGGAAGCTGACAGATTCCTTCAAACGCATGGTGACCTATGACAAGTGCACACACTATGACACACATACTGGAATTTGTATCCTTGTGGAGTCATTTCTTTGTTCTCGTGTACTAAAGTTTTCGAGTTTGAAAGTATACTTTCAAAATGCTCCTATTTTAACCAGAATTAATTTCCTGGGCTAAAATTCGGATTTAATATCCCTTACAT